AAATTCCAGAAAACTGCCTTTTTCCCTAGGTCATGGTTGTCCTGAAGTTTATCCTTCATTTTAAACAACCAGAAGTCTGGGAGGGAGTGGCGGTCAGTCACTGGAAAAGCTCAATTGGAGTAAAACTCACAGATCTCGTTCTTGCGACACCCCAGTGGGTAGGCGACAATGGCGTGTCCTTGAGTTATGCAATAACGCCACATCACAATATTGTAATTATAGCATGCCCTTCAAAATGTTCTGCCTGGCGAGGCTCCTTGCCAGACAGCTGGACACCACCAACAGGAATATTACAGCATTATTTCAGTTCACAGGTTAGCATGCATGACAAGCATAGTTACCCAGCCTGTCACAGAAATGTCCTATAAAGTTAAGCTATAATTACCTCCACTGTGCCCTCTCAAAACAACAACAACAACTCTTTCTCTTGTCTACCTTTCAAAGCTCAAACTCCTTAGAAACTTTTTAACCCACCAGCCTCTCACTGTTATCCTAACAACTGGTAATGACATTAACTGTCCATACTTACGAACCTCTCGAAAGACAGTGCATGGGCAATTTAGTGCTTTAGAAACAAGACAAACAAAACCCCGTAGCCAAGCGAAACCGCACACCATTCAAAGTGCTGTGTGGGCAGTTATGCCCGGATGCCCTGATGGGTGCACTGTGAGCAAGAGGAGAGATGAGCTCTCAGCTCAAGGCACTTTCCAGAGGCAAAGAAAATCAGCTGAATACTAGATGTTTAAAAACTTAAATAGTCACAAAGGTGACACAGTAGGAAAATCTAAGTGGAAGCTCATGCAGGACCCTGTGCATGTTTTAAGTCACTGCACCCCCACTGTTTTTACATCCTTTAAGTGTAGAGGCTGTCTATACCAGCTGCTTTGTTCAAAACATTCTCTTCGAGCCTGGCTGGGCTTGGAGAAGGTGTGTTTGAGAATAGAGCACATGTTACCCAACTCCTTTTAGGCGCAGGCTGAGAAGCGGCCCCAAGCACAAGCATTTCAGGGACAGCCACCTCTGATCCAGACGGGCAAGCCGTGTGGAGACGGCCACGCTCGTGTCCTGTGGTCAAATGGGAAGTGAAGGGAAGGATGGAAAACACTGCATCATTTAAACCTCCTTTAGGATTATGCTAACGTCTCAATTTTAAAACATGCTAACACTGCAGTTCTCAAATGAACGCCAAATAATGACAGGGACACCACATTATTAACAACTCAATACACAGCTCTCCACGTAGGCATTAACTGAAATAGAAATGTGCCTCCCCCGGGAAAATATATGTCAAACACCTCCTCTTATCACCTTTAGAAAAAACTTTACCTCTGAATGCAAATCCAAACTTACTGTAAACAGCTGAAGTTCTGGGTTATACTGTTTTGGCAACAATATACTCTCTTTGGAATAGTTAACACCAGCAGCTGCCAGACAGTACAAAGTCCAGCAGGTGTAAACTGACCAGACAGAGACTATTTCAAACCTTTGTGCCCACAGAGGTGCATGACTAAGTGAGGTGCCGGCTGTCAGGTTTAGTTTCTTCATCCTTGTAAACCTCACCTGGGCAGGACGTAGAACTCACAGGCTGACATCATCATTCGGAAGCTTACAAAATCATCAGTTTTATCCCACTTACTTCTGACACTACCGTAGTTTTATAGATTAAGTAAACCAGGCCCATCTTACATCTGCATCTAAGCAGCCGTGCTCCCTTGTTTTAATTAGCCAATTGGATAAACTGACCTCTCAGGATTGTACAAAGTTACTAAACCTACTGCACCTGGAACTCCATTTTTACACAAATTCCCTTCAAGCAATTAAACCCTATAATAATCTCACCTCCAACAACACTGGCATCAAGGAAGCCACCAGGGCTTCCCCCACCATGCCCCACCTGTTTACTGTCCTAAGCTCACTGACTGAACAAAAGGCAAACGGCACAGACTAGAACTCCACACAAACACTACTTGACTGAAAAAGGACACATCAATATAAAAGCAATTCCTTCCCAAATTATTCTTCTGGCTAATACTGTGACAACTTACATATAATTTACCTCCTTTAAAACTTTTTAGAAAACTTACCAATATGGGTTTACTTTTTTCTTTTTTTTTTTGCCTGAAAGTGTAAGCAGTATTAAGCAGTAGTGCTTCTAAAACTAATGTCACCATTTTCTTAAATCCTGAGGGAATTCTTGTGTTCTAGATGCTGGGAGGTGGCATATCCGCATTCACTCTTGGTATCGCTAGGACACAGCTCACACTTGATAAACGTTTTGCAACTGTCATCATTTTGATCGTGATGCTTCCAGCCTGTGATGAAATCATCAGTTTTCAGATCTTTGCCATAACACATCCTATACAATCCTGGGAACCTGCCTTACAGAGGTTCTCACGCCTTCAGAACCAGGAGCACAAGGAGGCGTGCCCGCACAGGCCTGCTGACTTATCTGGCTGGCCCAGCGCTGGCTGGAATCAGGCACCCGCTTCTCTGCTTCCTGACAGGAGGCAGGGAAATTGTTATTTTATCGCCCAGGGCAGATGTGCCCCCCAAGGTACAGGCCAAACCATAAAGAATTATTTCATTTTTTCTTTTAATAAGAGGGGAAATTAGAAAGACACAAAGCTATCATTACATGTTTAATTTCCTCGGCTTTGACACTGTGGCCAGTAGCTTCTGCAGCAGCACGCAGTGGGAGAGGAAGTGCTGGGCACCCAGGCCAGGCATCGCCAGCCCCAACTCACCAAGCAGAGTGCTGTCTGTCCGACACCGTGTCCATCAAACACCCCAGAGAGGGCCCAGGGCCTTGACCTCTCCCTGGTTATGGGGCAACAAAAATCTTCTCGTATCCAAAACACATGCTTCACTATCACTGCCACGCAGACTCTTGTCACAATGGGAGGTTTTAGGTCTCAGCAAAGCCCTCTTTTCTACCCAAACCACTTCTTAGTAAATAAATGTCTTAAGAATTGGATGATAAAATGTTAACAGAGACAGTTTGTGTGGGGGAGGGTGGTTCTTTGTGTTTTTAAGAAATATGAATAAATTAGTAGAGAAACCAGTTTGCTGACAATAAAACCAGATAGCTTTCTTAGAATTTAAGGTATCCAAATGAAAATCAAGACTCACTCCTGCTGCTAGCTACCCATGACCTCATGTCTGGTGTGTGGGATGGGACAAAGATGCAGGTAAGAGTAACAACGTTTCACTTTGTGAAAGTGAGTTTCTTAGGTTTCCCATACACATTTTTCTATTTGTAAAAGGCTGCTTTTCTGTTGAATGTTTTAACCAACTGATGTCTAGACAGTGACACTTTCTATATAAAATCTCAGACTCAGGACTGACCACACTTCCACAGTGAAAGAAGTTTTCTTAAATCATTCTCATTTAACTTTATTTTTAAGCTGTTTGAAAGTATTTAGAAGCTAAAGATCTTTTCCTTTTTACATACTTTACACAAACTCAAGTGCTCGGCCTTGACTGCTCACAACTCTGCATCCAGTCCTCCACCACCCACCTTCCCCCAGGCACATATGCTCCATGGGCTGGTTCAGGACCAGCAGCCACCACCCAAGCTGCCAAGAGCCCCCAGACTCTCGCGCCTTTGTTTTCAGATTTGGATTAGTATGCAAAGCCAGAGTCCCAGGATGTGCAGAACACATTTCTGAAGGAAACCTGGGACTGGGGACCCTCAGGGAAGCATCCAGAAGGGCAGGCAGCTTTGGACAGACACACTTTCCCTGGGGAGCCCAGGGCCCCGGAGTGCCAAGGATTAGACTGGCATGGCTGGAGGCCGGGGCCACTTCCTAAATGTTAAAGGCTGCGACAGCTTCCTCCCACAATCCAACCATCACCGAAACAGGTACCACTCACTCTGGTCTCTTCTTGAACACTAGACCAGGGCAGCAAAGCTTTGGTTTCGCCATTTGGAGGTACATCCAGGAAAGCCAGGCATCCTGTGCAACAGGTTCCCTGGAGCGAATTGGTGAGCTTCTTCCACAGCACTGATGCAGCGGGCAATGGACAGGAGCATACTGTCCCTTGTGGGACTTACAAAGTCACTTCAACAGTATTTCAAGCCATTTGAGTCAACATAAATACAGCATTTGTATTTGTATCTGAGGCCACATGAATACTACTTAATGATGAGGTTGGTTTTTCATTTGTGGTGTTAGAAGCAGTAGGTTGAAGTCACATGTTTAAATGTTCGTTTTTATATACCAGTCTGTAGAATACACCAACAATGTGGTTAGATAGGGCAGGACCACCACGGAGCATTTAACTGAACCGTATGATCACACTGTCCCTGTTGTAAGTGCGTGATTTCACAGCATGAACACAGGAGCAGTCGACAGCACTGTGACAGGACCCTGGCTGGAAATTCCAGGGAAATAGACCGGGCTCAGTCTCCTCAGGCTGCTGCAGGGCTCTCTCAAGGGAAAGTACAGATCATGGGATAAAGGTTCCCAAAACTCAAAGAATTACAAGTATTCTCAGAATTGACACTAAACACACCACACACCACACTTCTCTTGGCCCCAAGGCAATTCTTTCAGGTCAGATTTGAGAAAATAGAAAATATCGTGGGAGAGTTGGCAGCTGGGTTACCAAAGAGCAAGGGTGCTTCTGTTGATCTGGTACTTGCACCACCGCAGGGGCAGGTGGGTAGAGTCACGAGCATGCTATGTGCGCTGTCTCCCCGGGTGCCTCTGTTTCAGTCCCCCAGTGAGGCAAACGAGGACAAATGTGCTTGTGCTTAACCCACTAACCATCACTCTGACACCAAGATTCTGCTCCTCCATTGCAGCTCCTGGTCACCACATGAACAGGACTTTCCTTGTCAGACCCTTGGCATGTGGAGCTGGCTTTAAATAAAAGCACTTGCAAAGGAAAAGAAAAACAGTGACAGGCTTCTTCTAGAAACCACCAAGTCTGCACTAAACAGTAGTCAGCAAGTGATAATTCCGCTTGGAAGACCAGAGTCCAAAACATAAAGGAAAATGAGTCTTCTCAAAGAGCGAAAACCGAAGAAGCCGCATTACATCCCAAGGCCTCCAGGAAAGCCCTTCAAGTATAAATGTTTCCAGTGTCCCTTCACGTGCAACGAGAAGTCTCATCTTTTTAATCACATGAAGTATGGTCTCTGTAAAAACTCTATTACTTTAGTATCAGAGCAAGATCGAGTTCCCAAGTGCCCTAAATCTAATTCATTAGACTCTCAGCAAACCAACCAGCCAGATCCCACAGCTAAGCCAGCCTCTTCCAAGTCTACGACAAATGGACTCTCCAACTTTGACTCAAAGCTTCAACTCAGCTTTGCGAAGGATGATGTCAGGGAAAACCAGGAGCCGCAGCCTCGGGGAACCCACAAGTGCCCAGGACAGAAGCCAGCACTCCATAAGGAAACAGCACCCCTGAGCCCAGCTCCAGAAGCCGCCCTGGGGGCCCAGCCTGTGCTGGAAGGCATGGCTCGGCCTTCAGCATTTGTCCCAGTCGGAGAACACAGACTTAAAGGGCCCGAGAGCGCTGAGGCCCCTGAAATGCTGGCTTTAACCAACCCCACTGCCAAAACCGCCTCCTTCCACACCAAGTCTGCATTCCACACTCCTGGCTACCCCTGGAAAGCTGGCTCACCCTTCCTCCCACCTGAGTTTCCACATAAAATCCCATCAACAAAGGGGTTCGGAGCCATTTCCCCTTATGTGCACCCCACAATCCCAGAGTACCCGCCTCACTTTTACTCAGAGCATGGACTAGCCACCATCTACTCACCCTACCTGCTGGCCGGAAGCCCGCCTGAGTGTGACACACCTCTGCTGTCCGTCTATGGGGCCCCAGATCAAAGACACTTCCTGCCTCACCCCGGGCCAATCCCCAAGCACCTGGCTCCATCCCCATCAACATATGACCCTTACAGACTTTTCCAGCAGTACCACTCTAACCTGCCAATTCCTTATGGGTTTTACAGACCAGAGTCCACGTTTCCCTCCTATGGTCTCAGACTACCACCTGTCACCGGCATTACACGAGATGAAAGCTCTCACCTGCTGGAAGAGCCCTCCCTGGTCTACCCAGCCTCAAGTCCTTCCAAGTTAAACCCTTCAAACTCTCACAAAAAGCACACTGAGTTTGAGAAAGAAAATCCAACTCCCGAGGCTGAAGATCCTTCTGAAGATGGGCAAAGGGATACAGAAGGGGCCAAAATGAGCCCCCGAGCTGGCAGCGCAGCCACAGGCTCCCCGGGAAGGCCAAGTCCCACCAGCTTCCCACAGACAAGCCAGACCTGCGACGGCCTGTGCGACCTCTCCAACAAGGCGGCCCCAGGTGCCCTGGGAAGACCCCGTCCACCCCAGCAGAGCCCCACAGCCTTCAAACCTATCAGGAAAAGCACAGAATGCCCTCATGCAGACAGAGCAGAGTCTCCAGAAAGGTAAGAAAATTTCATTTTCAAAACGTCCAATGTAATGCTTTTGGTTATGCTCAATTAGCCAAGTTTACACTTGCTCAAAATGCTTTACATAGTCACTTTTCAAAGCAAGTTCCTACTAACCCTTCTCTTGGCTTCTTCTAGCCTCAATGCTGTGAACGAAGACCTTTCCGCTCAGACAGGAAGCACCTCTCTTGTCATGGAGGCCGCACCTTCCAGCCCAGAGCATGGCTCCAGAACAGGCCCCCTCAACCTCTCCAAGAAATCAGAGACAAAGCTGGCAGCCACTCTCAGACCTGTGTGCCCAGGAAGCACCCATGCAGAAGCCCCGCCCTTCTCAGAGCTGCAGGACCTGCCCCTCAATCTCTCAGTGAAGGACCCCTGCAACGCCTGGACTCCCAGGCCTGCCTTCCCTAGCCCACCACAAGGAGCAGAACTCGCTGCTGCTGCTCAAAAAACTGAAACAGAAAGTTCTGGAGACAGGCCAAGCCACACCGAGCCAAAGCACAATGGCTTCAACACCAAGGAGGCCCTGTTGACGAGCCCCAGCGAGAAGGCCCCATCCGCACATGCAGTGGACACCAGTGACGAGCAGAAGCAGACAGCAGCTGTGGCCCTGTGTCAGCTGGCAGCCTACAGCCCCAGGAACATACAGGTGGGCGATGGGGAGCCCACAGCCCAGGAGTTTACCTGCCAGCAAGACACACCCCCTCTCAGTTCCAAGGAAAACCAGGAGGCTCAGAGTGACCTCAGACCCAAAGGACAAAAGAGAACAAGTCAACGGGATGCAGGAAAATCCCAACAGGGAACTAAAAAAATGAAGGCCAATGACACAGTGAGAGTGTTCACCCTCCGAAAAAGAACACGGGTGTCTTAATGCCCGGCTCTCAGCACACTTAAGGCGCCATAGCTGCAAACAGGCCTCTGCGGCAGATGGCAACAGCACCAAATCTTAAGTGGCACCTTCACTTTTTTATCTGGCCAATTTATACAAACACGTTTCTTCTTTATTCTCAAAAAAAAAAAAAAGCTGCAATTCAGTTCAGCTGATATTTTTGTAAGTATCAGGCACAAATATGAAGAAGTGCTTCAATTCAATGCCTGGTCATAAAAACGTCTGAATGACACATCTCTAAGACTTTGGCTTTCATTTTTGTAAAATGTCAAATAAAATGTATAGAACTAGAAGGTAACTTAAGGTGTAAGCCATCTTATAGGAGATCTTTTACAAATACTTTTCTTATAAATATTTTAGCCTTAGAATAAATTGTTTTAACTGTTTTTCTATTAATCTAGTGTGTGTTTTGAAGTAAATAACAATTGCTGGAAGAAAATGCCAGGAAAAAACCTTCAGTACTAGCATTAAAGTACTGTATGTAAAAAAATATGATTTGTTATGACTAAATAATACACAGCATTATTTATATGAATAACTTATTTCCATTAGGGAAAACCTATTACTGGTGAGGGTATTGTCGATTTATTCTATTTGCATATGTTACAGTGAGTTTTCTGACTTGTTCAGCCTCCTTTTCCACTCCTTGAAATGATGTATATGTTGCTAGTTTTCCAATAAACTCCTGTGTGAACTTTAAGGATACATGAAATGAAAACAAATATAAACTCTACATTATCCTTTGGAGTATGCTGCTATAATAATGAAAAAAAGAGTTTGTAGCTGAGGACGCAATTCAAACTGAGAGCATATTTGTGTTTGTGCATGAGTGTGTGTGTGAGCTGTGCATGCATGTGTACAAACTAGTGGTCATCCGGTGCAGCCATGTGCAAGTCACCTCTAGGGCCACTTGAAGACCACCCAAGGGGTTCTCAGGCCTCAGGGTGCTTTACGAAAGTGAAGTTCTGAGCCTCAACTCCCCAAAGCTCTGCCTGAGAAAGGGTCCTCCCCAGTCCACCCCATGTCCCTTCCACAACAGCCCTTTCTTTCACTGTTCCAGAGAGGCAGCCTCTCACCCAACACACTGGAAATAGAGGACGGGAATCACACCTGGGACTGGGTGAGAATGCTCACCACCATCCCCAGGACCAAGGAGGTCCTCACAGAGCTGTCCAGTGACATAACACACAGTGTTGTGCCACGAACTTGGAAAAAGTCCCAACAATGAACATGCTGAAACAAAATTACTGCCATTCCCAACTACTTACTTATGGAAACAGGGATTCTTAGCACTTTGAGCTAAAAAATAAAAATTGTATTGAAGCAGAACCTTGCCTTATTCTGGTTAAAAGCACAACTCGCCAAAAGATAGCCCAAACTAAAAATCTATCTTATTAATAACTATTCAATAAAATACTATTTTACATTGTTCTGGTTAATTTTATAATAATAATTTTTTAAAAACCCAATCTAGAAGAACTTTTCAATAATTAGCGCCTTATGGCCATATGAAATGTAAAAGTTAAAGTTTTCATTCATGTGCTTCCCTTTGTTGCAGACACAGGATAGTGTCAGGCATCATCTCAGATGACAAACAGGAGGAACCAGGGGCAGCTGAGAGCTCTTCCACAACGGTGCAGCCTGGGGAGCTGCTCCAGGGACCAGGAGGTGCTCAGCCCTGGAGCGCTGGGTTACCACACAGGCGCTGTGTGCCTGCAGTGTGGAGCTGACCCTGTGAAGAGGCCACCTCCTGATGCAATTCCGCCAAAGGTCATTTGCAATACCACATCCGTGACAATCAGGGCAGGCCCTCTGTATCTATTTGTGAAAGCAAAATGGATGCCTAGAGCTTTATAACAAAACAAAACAAAAAAAGTCTAATTTGGGGGGGGGGAGGGGGCAGCTGACCAGTACAGGGATCAAACCCTGGGCCTTGTTATTGGCACCAGCTCTAACCAGATTTCTAAAGTATGCTCCCTTTCTGCACTTGTGCATAACCTGACTTAAGAGCTACAAGCGTCTATCTTTTACATACAAAAAGTAATAAGCTCTCAAAAAGTTAAACACAGAATTACCACATGATGAAGTAATTCCACTTCTGGGTATATACCTGTAGTGGACTGAGTTATGTCCCTCCAAAACTCATTAAAGCTTGAATTGTGTCCCCCAAGTTTTATGTGTTAGAAACTTAGCCCCCACTGTGACTGTTAAGAGGGTGGGAAATCCTATTACGGTAATTGAAGGTGGAGCCTTGAAGAGGTGACTGGATTGTAGGACCCTGCAGTAGTGAATGGATTAACAATGGTGGTCAGGGGTGTGGTTCTGAGGGCTTTAAAAGAGGACAGTCTGTCTTTCTCTCTCTCTCTTTCTCTCTGCTCTCTCTGCTTCCACCATCTGTAATGTGAGACCCCTGGGTCACTGTTGCCTCCACCAGATGGACTTTGGACTTCCCAGCCTCAGAAACTGTAAGCAATAAATGTTGTTTTCTTTTTATAAATCACCCAGTCTCAAGTATTTCTGTTATAGCAACACAAAACGGACTAATACAGTATATCCAAAAGAACTGAAAACAGGGTCTCAAATAGATACTTGTACTCCCATATTCAATAGCGGCATTACTCACGATAGCCAAGAGGTGGACAACCCAAGTGTCCACTGACAGGTGAATAGATAAACAACATGTGGTGTCTACATACAATGGTCTATTATTCAGTCTTTTTTTTTTTAACTTTTTGTCTCTTTTACTGACCGGTAACGGGATTGCAACCCTCAGTGTCGCGCCCGTACCGGGGACCGGCAACGGGATCGCAACCCTCGGTGTTGCGCCCGCACCGTGCTCAGCCAGTGAGAGGGAACCGGTCTCCACATGGGATCCGAACCCTCAGCGGGAGCGCCGCCACGCTCCCAAGCGGCGCACTCTCCAGTGCGCCACTGGGCCGGCCCATATTATTCAGTCTTAAAAAGGAAGTTCTGACACACATTACAACATGGGTGAACCCTGAGGACACTATGCTAAGTGAAATAAGCCAGACATAAAAAAGG